AGCCTTCTTCTGTTTCTGTCCTTGGAGCCAGTGAATTCCTGAGCTCTTTCTAAGAGATGCTTCATTTCTCCCAACATGCCTGCCTGCAGTGAAAGACAGACCAGGTGCTTGAAATTCCAGAGCCTGCATTAAAGGAGGTTGGGGTAGGTGCTCTCAGATTGTTGTTCGAGCTTTAAAGCTTGTGGGAGAAACACCATCTATTTCTCTTATCTCCCAGCATGAGCCCTCAGAATTGCTCTCCCTGGCAATGGCCTGATTGCAAAAGTCTCTTCTAGCAGTCATTAGCAATGAAGTGGGGGGCTGCAGCCCCCCAAGGAACCGAGGGCTGTGGGGAAGTGCCTGGTTCCAAGCTTTGCAAGCACAAGTTCTGTCTGTCCTTCCCCCTGGGCTGACTCTGGCCAGGTGACTCTCCCTCTTTTGGCACGTGCCAGCTTTCAGGTGCAGCAGGATGGACACCCCTTGGGGTGGCCTTATGCAGCTCCCCCCATGCTGCAGATTTTTTAGGGGGGCCAGGTCTGGCCCAAAGTGGCCTGTGCTCTAAAAGCTGGGGGCTGGTCACCCTCCCTTCCTCGTTAGCAGCACTGCCTGTGTGAGCAGCATGAGGAGCAGAGCCAACAGACTGGCTGCATCCCATACTAATGTTCTTCTCACTATTTCAGTGCCATTTCCACCCTCTCCCTGAACAACTAAATTAATTAGAGTGATTTTTTTATTATTTTTTGATATTATTTTTTTTAAACTACCGTCATGGAATGATGATTCTGGTGAACTCATTTATATTTTTTTTTGCCTGTCATTCCCCACTGCTTCTTTTCTCTCTTGCACTCTCTTTTAATACACTGTTGATATTTTGTGATAGCTTTGCAAGATCACAGCTGTTCTCTGCAAAAAAATAAACACAACCAGAAAAAGAGTAAGATCATGCTATGTGCTGTTGCCATCCAACAACCATTTTTCTCCCTCCACTAGCTCACAAAAAAACCCCTTCCCCTATTAAGTGCAGGACCATACATTTTTCTTGGCTTGTAAAAAGCCAAAAAAACCTCACAACAGCTTCATGAAGCTGCAGCAATAAGGAAGCTGAGGCCCCTAGGATAAGCTGGGGCCTCATCCTGAGCCTGTTACGGGGTCAGATCCCATAAATTTTGGATCCCGGGAGTGATTCCCCCCCAGGCAGCAGGTCTGTGGGTATCACCTGCTCCCCTGCTTTACAAGTCATTGAGTTATGTTTACCTGGATGTGTTCAACTGACCTATAAACATTTTCTGCTCTGATCGAGTAACAAAACCACTCTCCTGCTGTTCTCATGAAACAACAACAACAAAATCCAATTAGACCTTGAATTTATACCTAGTGGTCAGGGCTGAGAGAGCCATTGCTTCATGCTGGCCCTTCTGGACAGCTTTCCTCAGCCCCTGCCAGACCTTTTCTGACCCTGTGAAGGCAGCCCTGGGGGACCATGCGGATCGAGATGGAAGCTAAGCATGGATCAGGTTGGAGAGGCACCATGCTTTTAGCAGCAGCACAGAGTGAGAAATTAAGGGGAGCCACGATGGAGATTTGAATCGTTGTCTCCAAGTCCACAGCTCCAATTACACAACTGATTTGAATCAGTCTCACAATCTACCTGACCAATTACAGAATTCCTCCTTGACACCCTGGCCCCAGCCTGGCTTGGCAGTTGCACTGGATACACCTCCTGTCTGCAACATTTTAGAGCATCTTTAAATGAAGCTCAGCTGAGGCCCATGCTGTTCCAATTAACACACACAGCCCACACAGTCACTCTGGCAGGACTTGCCTGTCACTGGTGCTCCCTGTTGCCTTGAACAAGGTTATTAGGTTGGCTGAAGAAGTGAGGTGAAACACTTGTTCTCCCCCTAGACTGCAGCATTCACCTCTCACTCCTAGAGAGGGGATGGGCAGTGGCACAGAGAGTGCTCCCCTGTCCCTTCCAGGGACACCAGGGCCAACGTTTTCCGTGATCTTCCCTCCCTGCTCAGAGCAAAGAAAGGACTGAGCTGGTTGGTTGCCTGGCTTTTTTTGGAAAGCAGAATCATGCAAAGCAAACAAGAGGATTCAGAGAGGGCTGACAAAGGGGGGCACTTGCTGTCACACCCCTACATCAGCAGGATGAAGATATCCCCATCCTTGCCCTGGTGTGTCCAGTCTGCTCATAATCTTTAAGATAGATTTTACCAGTTGTTTTCTCAGGCAGGGCTCTGTATTTCTGGGAACCCTGAGAACCAGAATCAGCTCTCCTCGAGGGGGCAAAGGGCTGATGAGAAACCTGGAACTGGTGCTGAGAGGCAGGATAGCTAAGTAGCTACCACATTTGTCTCCCTGGAATTGAGCCCGGGATGTGCCCTTCCTCTGGAAAGGGCCAGGTTGAATCTGGGAGACTCCACAGGGAGTAGGGATTATTTGCAACTTGGCACAAAAGGTAACTCAGCCCCTGGTGATGTTATATACAACCTCCTTGCCAGATGTTTCAAGCCCCTAAACAGTTGTAACTGCTTCTCCACAGGTTTCAATGAAATTCCCTGAAGTATGTAAACTTTGGCTTGTTTGGACCAATACCTACAGATTTGATTGCAGCAGCAGATGTTTTATTTTTACCTGCAAGTGAAAACAGGGAGCATACATCACGACCATGACACATTTCTTGTGAAGCAGATGTTTCTATTAGTGCCAGAATTGAATGGAAATTCAAAGGATGCTTTTTTGATATATTTTTTTAAACTCTTTTTTACCCAATTACACTGCAAGTGGCTGAAGTATTCCAATGAATCACTTCACTTTTTCTTTTTTTTTTTTTTTAATTTTTATTTTATTAGTAGGGACAAAAAGAATAGTTTTGTATCAGTCTCCCTCAATTAAATGTAAAGTACATCTGGACAGAGTCTGACGATCCAGCTTTCACTGGCAGTTGCAAAGCCATCGACATAATAAAATAATACTCTGATTGGTATTACAAGGCTGTATTTAAATCATTGGCATTCATACTCTGAGCCCTTTGCAGGGAGCACAAGCCCTCCATTAGAGACAAGCTTCATTTTATACTGTGATCTGGGTGAGATATGAAATGAAAATGAGAAAAAAAGCTTTTGCAGAGCTGGAGACGTCGTAAGAAAAGCTACAATGAATGTCTGGGCTGCTTTTTCAGTTACTTACAAACTGCAGGTGTCAAATTCTGGAAAGAAGCTGAATTCCAGTTTTAATTAGTCAGCAGGTTGAGGTATAATTCAGGGCTCAGATCTGTCCCAAAGCTCCTCCTGCTAGCACAGCAAGGAGTTTACACCAAGCTCAAGGAGAAAAACGTGACCTCCTTGCAGAAGGTGAACTTTGACCTTCAGTATCCCACTTTAAAACCCCCAGTGCCCACGATATTTAAAGCACCTACTCCTTGCATGATTATCTCAGCAAGCCTTGGCATTAAGTGGGAACTGAGCTGGCAAAACGCCTCTGGTGGTCCCTGTGAGGAGGACGTGTCATTGCAGCTTTCATCTGAAGTTCCCCTTGGCTCCAGTCAGCTTTGGGGAAAGAAAAAACAGAACACAACAACTAACCCTGTCTGAAATAGTGTGTGCTAGCCCAAAGCCAGGTGCCATATGGGCCTTCCCAGGTCGTGCAAGGTAAGTCTGACCTGGCTTTGTCAGCAGTCTGTTCTACTAGCATCAGGAAGTTCCTTGAGCTCAAAGACTTTGAAGTTCATGATGTGTTTGAATAGCAGGACATGCATCAATGCCCTGACCCAAAACTGTGTCTTTGAGGGTTATGCTGATACATGTAACAAAGAGTAATATTAAACTATTCTACTTAAGGATGATTTTGAGGGGGAAAAGCAGGATGTGTGCTGAGGTGCTGAACTCAGCTACTAGGGGCAGCTGCTCAAAGGTAGGCAGAGGTCTCATTTAAAGCCGGAGGCTTTGAAGAAGAAGCTAATTGTGCCTTTTGATGTGGGAAGATGGCTCTAGAGTTATAGGGGCAGCCACCACTTGGGTCTTGAGGATGAAGTTCACTGAAAAGGAAGCAGAGCTTCCTGGGAGAGGGAGGTCGGCAGAAGCAGATGTAAGGATTTTTGAGAAAGGGAGAAACTCATTGCTTTTACTTTGCTCAGGAAAACACAAACTCCTGTCAGAGGATTCCACCAAAATACCTGTCTCATATCATTCTTCTGCTGTTGGAGAAGCCTTGGAGAAGACAGGGGCTGGTTGATGGCACAATCTTCCATTGGAGACCAAGAGCCTTGAACTTCCTGGGACTGGAGGATTACTCAAGGAGTTACATAGAGCTGGAATAAACTATGGGAACAAACCCAAACCAGTGGAAGTGCTGACTTTTAAAATCATTATATTTGTACTGATATAACCCACACACACAGATAAGCTTTATGTCATTGCCAAAGATGGCCCCCACCAACAGCATATGAGAATCTCAGTACATGACACCTGCATTCTCACAACACCCCTGGGAGGGAGGGAAAGGGCCTGAACCCCCTTTCCCTGGTGGAGAACCTGTCAAAACAGAGCAACTTTCTCATGGTCACCCAGAAGGTCTCTTTCTGAGCAGCAAGTTGGGTTGGGGCTGTCAAGGAGGGCAGCTATGGGGCTGCTTTTTTGTCAAAAGCCCTGCACTGCTGGCAGCTCTTCTGCTCCATCAGGGCCATTTCTGCTGTGAGCAAATGGCCACAAGCAGCAGGTGGTGTCAAGAAAGTCCTCACAGGCACTGAAGTGATCATAAAACAAGAACTTGGAGGAGGGCAGGGCAAAAAGAACTTGTGGAAAGACCAATCTGATTTGTAGCCAAACACCAGTCTTAAATGCCTACCATGTTCCTAGTAACAAAATGAGTGTATATCAAAACAAAACAAAAAAAAGTACTTTAAGAAAATGTGGCTTTTTATCCCTGCCATGCCAGAATCATACAGGGCTGAAAGAACCCTGAGGGGTCACCAGATCTTTTCCCCAGCTTCTATGATCTCCTGGGGCTGGGTCCCTTCAGTAGATGGAGCTTAGGGTGCTATCTTGGCTACTTGTGTCAGAGCTGTCCAGTGTCACATCAGGACCTGCATCCACCCCGTCAGGATCTCCTTGATCTTTGGCGAAGTTGATGAAAACCTGCAAGTTGAAAAGGAGAAACATTCAGCTGTGACAGCATAAAGAATTTCATAACATGAATATAAAATATAAAAGGAGAAGTGGCTGTTCTTTGACTGTGAGCTTGGAGAGAGTGCTGGGGAAAGGATTCAGCCTGGGTTTGAGAATTGCAGAGGTGGGGTTTCTCTGGGCTGATGTCAATTCCTGGATGTGCAATCCTGGGACACCTGAGTGGACATTCCTCTCCTCGTTGTCCTGCAGCTTACGTTTCGAAAGCACTAGCAAGGCAAAGCCCACGTGGCAGCTCTTTTTGATCACAGTGTAGTAGTACAGCTATATTATTACTTTATCCACCCATCTGTCTGTAAGTAACTGACATCATGCACCACTGCACAGTGCACAGGTAGGTGTGTCTAATCACACGTAACAATCTTCCTTTCAGCAGCACCTAATCAACACACAAAATATTCTTCCTTAAACACTGCCTGCCATCACATTTGCACATACACAAATCCAAGCTGTTCTCCTACAAAACATGACCTGGGGCTTCCTGTGGTTTGTCTGCCCATTTTCTTTCACTATTGCCCCTTATTAAAAGAATATTGAGGATCTCCTCCCCCAGATCCCTGTTCAACAATCCACGTGACTACAGGGATGCATGTTTTGCTTCTCTCAGAAGCAGGACAGACCTAATATACCAGATGCTGATGGTCAAGAGAATTATTTCTTCTGGATAGTCCTTGCAGCATCCCTTCAGCTGATGTGTTTCCTACAAGATTTTAATGCCAATAGGAATTGTCTTCCAAGGGAAAATAGAAGGAACTTCAATTGTGAAGCTAGGTTTGGAGTAATGCACTAAATCAATTTACAACTTAAATACAGTACAAGAAAGTGAAATTAAGCAGATTTCCAAGATAGGTGGGAAAAGTCCACCATCAGGAAGCCTAGCACTGGACTTGAAGGTGATTTGTAAAGCCTGCCCTTCATCCACACCCAGGAGGGCTGCTGAAATCAGCAGTCACAGAGGGAAGAACAGATCCTTCATGCTACAGGCAGCTTTCTATGTGCATTTTCCTAGTGCCAGCAGAGGTATCTGGAGGCAGTAGGTTCTGATAAAGCATCCCCAGGGGGAACAGGGATAGAAATCCCTTTCAAAATGTAGCCTGTTGTCTGCAGCAGTCCCTGCTCCCCTCTCAACAGTTTTAAATGGATGGCCACACATCTTTAATTCCTTACCTCCTCTAATGTTGTTTGACTCACTGAGAAGTGCCTGATATTGAAGGCTGCTTTGCTGGCTTCCAGGAGATCAAATATGTTGGCCACCCCTCCTGCAGAGACTGGAACATGATACTCCACCATGTTGAAGTGCCGGTCCTGTGGGAACAGGAGTGATGGGGTGAAGTGGAGAGGCTGCTGCCTACGCACAGCTAAGAGACCTGAAGGCTGTTGAGAATTAAAGCAAAGAGGAGCCAAACCATGGGGAAGTGAAGGGGCAGAGTGTGTGTTCTCTCCTGCTGGCTCCCAAAGGTGAAGAATGTTATTGTCCAGTGCTTCCCCACTGGGGATTTTTATGGGTTTTGTGACCAGGAGATGATAAAAAATAACCCAGGCCCAGGAGCTTGAGGGTAGCCATAGCATTACCCAACCATCTCATTACCCACTGAATGTGAAGTTGGGCCTCCATGCAGTCCCCATCAGCTTCAGTGGGACCGATCTCAGGGGCAGAGGGTCGCCTAACAAGCCTTATGGGGTTTGCCTGCAGTTATTTGAGCCACCAAGGAACCTGGGTGCTCCAACCCTTGGGCAATGTTTCTGAGAGCAGTGACAAGTGTGTGTATATGAAGCCCTTACACTTTGAGAGCACAGATCTAAGTGCACAGTGTATTACAAGAGGTCTTATCTTGCAAGATCCTCTTGGTTAATTTGAAGGGGCTGAGAGGGCCTCACCTGCAGGCAACTGTCCTGCTTACCTTCAGGCATGTGTTGGGAAAGTGTGATTTCATGAACTCTGTCAGCATGTCAGTGCTAACTGTGCTGCTGTTTAAGTGCATCTTTACAGTGAACCCTCTTCCAAACCTAGGGGAAAAGGAAAAATCACAATTAACACAGGAGGAAAGAGAAACATAGAAATAAAATTATTTGAGAGTGCTGCCCAGCCTCTTTGAGGGAATCCACCTCAGGTAGAGCACAGCTTGAATGGGGTCAGGGTTGTTAACCTGGAGTGAATCTTAATAAGCAGCCAAGCTATTGTGATAACTAAGGAAATGGAAGTTCAATCCTAATGTGCATCTCCCATTTGCAGTGGTGAAGAGATTACTTCAGGGAACACATATCTGGGAGAAAAAGGCTGTGAGAGCACAGAAAGTGCAGTAGTTAACACAGAATTTCAACAGGGTAGGAAGAAATGTAAAGTCAGAAAATGATATCATGTTGATGCCCTGTTAGCAAAAGTCTCAGGGTCCCAGCCCTCAAAGCTGTAGGTTATTGACCCTAAATGCCATTCAGGAGGAGGGAAATAGGCACCATTCCCTGACCTGCTCTTGATGTGCTGCAAAGAGCCAATGCACTGAAAGCTCCCATTCACCATGATAGCCAGCCTGGTACACAGGGCTTCACATTCTTCCATGCTGAAAAATATAAACCAAAATACTCTAATCAGTCATTGAGAAGGTACAAAAATGAGTTATTTTAGGGATGGGAGGACACTGTTAATTTTCCTAGATGACTAAAGTGTGGTGGGTCTATGTGGGCACCCATACTCAGCAACAGCAAACCCCCAAGCCTGTCAGAGCTCGGTGTCCTGAAATTCTGTGAGGACTGACAGGGAGTGTGAAGAACAGGCCTGTCCATACCTCCTGCAGACCCTGGAACTGGAGCCAGAGCCAAAGCAGCCCTACCTGTGGGATGTGAGGATCACTGAGCATTTGTTCTGCACTTCCTCACTGATGATTTTCCAAAGGTGACGTTTAGCATTGGGATCCATTCCAGAGCTCGGTTCGTCCTGTTGAGAAAGAAAGGACTGAATGTCAACTTCCACTCAAAATCTGATCTTCCTAACACTTGTGTTCTTTTTAGGTTCATCATAGGTGTTCTGTTTGCTAGTAAGGACCCACAGAAGATCTCACCCTGTTACAGATCCAGGAGAAGGATTCTCTTCAGTTGCCCTATGGGTTTGACTGAGACAAGTTATTCCTTCTTCATGCAGAGCCCTTGACTAAGGCCTCCATCCTCACTGCCCTCTGGAACTGCACAGCTCCCAGGGGGACTGCTGGGAACTCTCACCCTCCTTTCATAGAATCAAAGAACCATTCAGGTTGGAAAAGCCCCTTGGGATCATTGAGTCCAACCATCATCCCTGCTCTACGAAGTTCTCCCCTAAACCATCTCCACCAACACCACATCCAAACGCCCCTTCAATACACCCAAGGATGGTGACTCCACCACCTCCCTGGACAGCCTGTTCCAGTGTCTGACCACTCTTGCTGTTAAGAAATGTTTCCCAATGTCCAATCTAATCCTCCCCTGTTGCAGCTTGACCAGCACCAACCTCTCTACAATGTCCTTTCAGATAGTTGCAGAGACTGATGAGGTCTCTCTCCCCTCAGCCTCCTCTTCCTCAGACTAAACATTCCCAGCTCCTTCAAGTGCTCTTCATCAGATTGATTCTCTAGGCTCTTCACCAGCTTCCTTGCCCTCCTCTGTACTCTTTTGGGCTCCAGATGATCTGTCTGGCTGTGACAGTGCCACCTAACACTAACTCTGCTGTGCATTTGATACCACAGTGTTTTAAATAACCATGAACACCACAGGCCTAAGCCCAGATGAGAAGCTGATCAACAGGGACTTGGTTCCCACATCCACCTCCCTCTGCTTATGCTGACGAAGCAGGTGTTGATTTCTTCATTTAGGGAGGCAGAAAGCCAGAGAGGAAGGTGGCATCCTAACTCCTTCCTACCCTAGGCATTGCTGATAGAATTGTTAGCCAATTTCTGATTGACAAATCATTGTTGCTGAAGGTAACAGCTTCTGTAAGGCAGAAATAAACCAGCTTGGGTTCAGGCAACAGTCACCACGGAGGAAATCTTCCCACCTAATGTTATTGAGAGGTTTTTTTTTGTCACAAAAGCAGCTGGAGGGCTGGTGTATGTGGTCAGAAGCAAAGCCAGTAGTGCTGGGCTTGATGCAAGTTAGAGCAAGGGAGATTTATGTCGACTAGGTATCAAATTTAGTATCAGGAAACCTGCTCACAGAGCACGGCACACATTCAAAACACAGCAAGTGGGAAAACTGCACAAAAAGGTGCCTTTCAACAATGGCAAATCTCATGGAAGAACTGGAAGCTTCAAAATGAAAGACAAAAGGGGAAGCCAAACCTAGAAACAATGTTCTAATCCTGAGGGAATTTGCTCCTTTGCTCTTCCACATATTTGGAGCCTTGGATGCCACTTTTCTTTCAAGAAAATGCTGGGAACAAAGAGAGTTTAATTGGGAAATATAGGATCTATTTTTGACCTCTGGAAGAGGCAAATACAGAAACTGGCAGACTCACCACTCTTCTGCCCTCAAAAAAATAAATACATTGGGTGCTTGCTGGAGTCTGAACTTTCCTCTGATGCACCTATTATCAGGCTAATGATGGGCATCTGGGGGATGTCCTGTAAGCTGTGCCTGAGGAGGCTTTGCTAGACTGCCAATGTCGCCCTGCCAGCCCAAAGATCTGCTCATCTTTTCCCCACCAATGCCCCCGTTTCTCACCAGCAGCAGAATAGATGGATTCCCAATGAGAGCCAGAGCAGTGGACAATTTTCTGTTGGTGCCATAACTGCACATAGAGGTTACTCTGTCTTTGTAAGCCATCAGGTTCAGCCTGTGGAGAAGCTGGAGTACAACCTGTGGGAGCAAGAGTAATAAATGACCTCACACGTATCTATTGATTGAAAGACTAATTAAAAGTCAAGCCCCAGTGTTACTCACCCCTTTGATATTTCTCTCTGGGATGCCATGGAGCCTAGCATAGTAATACATGTGCTCTTCCACTGTCAGCAAGTCATCCAAGGCATCCTCTTGAGGACAGTAGCCAAAGAGGGACCAGTGTGCCTCACTAATGTCATTCAGGGACCTGTGCAGGGAAGTCAGCAAATCACGTCAAACACACTGAATTGCCAACGCACTCTGCAGTCAGACAGGAGAGAGCAAAGTCCTTTCTCCTGCTTCCCACCCCATTTCCCAATCCTTGAGGGAAAATGCCATGAATATGAGGGCTTTTAGGCCCTGCAAAGGAAAAGCTGCCTTGTGTGCATCCTGACGTCTGCTAGTCAAGATGTCTAGTGCAAGACTCTCCAATGACTGCCAGCACTTCAGATGGCACAGCTGCCACAACGCCTGCTCCTCTTAAAGAGCATTTTGAGATCAGCCCTGCTGGTCTCCAGATGCTGGCTCAGGAGTGGGATCACACTCAGCTGAAGACCTGAGTCTGATCCCATTTACAATGTGATGAGGAACAGGAAACACCCCTGAGAACAGCAGAGGTCTGACAACAACAGCAGACCCCTAGGGAAGCAACCATGCCATCTTCAAAGGGTGAAATTCCCCGTCTCATTTATTTTTCCTCTGCTTTGAATGTTTTCCTTGGTTTCAGACTTTTATATTTATTTTCCTTTGCCACCCAGCCCTGAAAACTCCTCCTGGGCTGCTGTGCTCATACACCTTCCCCAGAAATCACTTCCTCCATACCCAGAAGGACCCTGGACCCTCAGCCTTCCGCTGGACGCTCCGATATCACCCGTCAGCATCTTAAAGATGGTTGTCTTCCCAGCTCCATTCACACCAAGCAAGCCAAAGCACTGGGGGGTGGGAAAGAAAAGTAGAACTGTAACCAGGCTGTATTTACCATGCATAAAATACTGCTCAGAGGTGAGTGCTCAGTGCATCTTGTCTCCTCTTTTCTCTGGACCCTTAAGCAAGATGAGCTGCAAGAGCAGCAGAGCGACCCGGAGCACACGCACGTGGCTGTGGAGGTTGTTGATGGTGCAATATTGTTTATAGTGTATTAGGACCTTCTGCTTAATGTGAAAAGTCAAGGATGTGTCTCTAATACAGAGCCATCCTTTTTACTGCAAGATGCATTTTTGCAGTGAGTTCACCTGACAGGCCAAACCCTGATCATCTAACTTGTGCCTTAATGCAACACAAGAGGTCCAGGTTGGACTCGATGATCTTTTCCAACCCAAGTAATTCTGTGACAAGACTGTTTCCCTCTCCACCTCCTCCCAAGTAATTTCTTAGAAGCTACGAGCTACCAGAATGCAAAAAATGTGATATGATTAACTGATAAAACAAAAACCAGTTAGCAATGACACCCCCAAGTCTGGGGAAAAAGGCAAACAGGCCTGGTTGTGTTCATTTCCAGAGGGAAATAATCTCACTAATGCACGACATGAATAAGATTGAGAACTGGGTCCCTGAGGTGCAGTTCAGAATCTCATGCTAAAACCTATGTTTTATTGCCCATGTGGGAGATATGCAGTTGTGTGATGCAGAAGCAGTCACCATTGTGCTGGTAATTACTGTTATTATTATCATTGTTAGGACAGACCAGCTGATCGGCCAGTCCTCCCATGTTGGGCCCACTGCAGGTGCCTGGCATCTCTCCAAGGCTCTTCCCCACTTGGAAGTCCATGCAGGGACAGTGTCTGTGCACAGCCTGCAGTGCTGACACCAGCATGGGACTGACATTTGCCAGAAGTTAGAAACCTTGATGCCAGTTATGTGTAGGGGAAAAAAAATTCCTCTCCCAGAAAGATCAGCCTCCATGTGAGGCTGCTGCCCTCCTGCCCAGCACCCTACAGCTCCATCACTGTCCCACCGCTCTTTCCAACTGTCACTTGGTCACTCAAAAATCCACTAGGAGCCTTTTGTCACTACTGGAACCCCGAGAATCAATGAATAAGGCACAGGAATGAAGGAGGAGGTCAGAGGAGAACAAACCATCTCAGTCATGCTTGGACAGCAGCAAGGACTGGGAGACAAGGTGACAGTGGGACTGTATGTCCCACCTACCCTCCCCAGGTTGGAAGGTGCCCAGAGCCTTTTCCCCTCTTTGCCTCTCCAGCAG